TCATTTTGTTACAAATACACGAAACCCCCATGCATAAATTCACACACACGTGTATTTTATATTACAAGTATGTAAAATTTGGATAGGTTTCAAACAATAAAAGTATAAGAAAGTAATAACACACCTTATTGTTTAAAAAAAAAAGAAAAAATTAATTAGAATTAAAAGGTGAATCTCTTGGCAAAACAATTAAACGTTGACTCGAACGGTGTCACACATTATGGCAAATTGAAAACAATGTGTGTGTCTTTTTAGCCACCACGATCCGTGGTCTTCCGCTTTTACTTTCCATTCCTGGTTCCGTTTTACCCGCTTTATCTTCTTATTTTTCGACTTTCTCTTTAGATTCAATCGCAAACCTCAAAGTACCTGTTTTTTTTTTTTTTTTAATTCGCACCTATGAAGGAGTATCTTACCCTGTATCTCACCTGTATCTCACCTTTATCGTGAGAATAATCTTTTTTTTCGAACTTTTGCAAATACTTTTGATTCATTTTTTTTATCGATGACTCGATAATTATCATAAATCTTTTTATTATATTATTCTATGATTTTTTTTGTCTATACATGTAATATATACGTTAGATTAATTATTAATTAATAAATATAATCATTGTAATTCATAATAAATGTGAATAATAGAATTAATCTGTAATTATGTGTTATCTATCTCTCCTATCAAGATAACTGTATACTCTTTTGATTATCTTACAAGAAACTTAACTTAAAATGAAGTTTCGTATTAAAATCCCTATCTGTGTCATTCTAAAAACGGATGTAGTCTTGCATAACATTAAACACGCACGTCTTCGAATCTTCTTCTATTTTCTTTTCTTTTTTTCTTTTATCATGAACGAGTCTAAACCACCTGTTTTTCTCAATCAAATCCAACGAGAAAAAGAGATAAAATTAAATTTAAGTACGAAATAGTAAGTAAATAAATAAAATACCACGAAAACAATTTATTCTAATGAATAATAATCTTCTTAAACAATAAATTACTAATATATATTATATTAATATATATAATATCTAAATTCAAATAAATCACCTACACAAGAAAATTTATATACGAATCGATTTCTAGTAAAAAAAAGGGCACATGTTTCCAGAAAAATATATAAAAATAACAATACTCGTTGCACATTGATAATAATGAAAAGAATTAACAGATAATATAACATATAAACCCTTATTTCATTTTAAACACAAAAATTCTAAAATATAATTAAATAATTATTAAATGTAACAATACACACATATATCATACATAATTTGTTTCTTCTTATATAATTTTTAAAATACATTACACATATATATACACAATACATTATCAATATCATTAATAACAATTTTATTTCGAGTTCTCATTAAAACAGGAAATCAAATCAATATGATTTAATACCAATTTGTAATATTATCTGTTTTATATTACATTAAATTAGTATACGTTAACCAATTTGTATCTTTTTATCTTTCTCACACAATCGATGTAACATATAAATAT